TAATAATACATTGAAAAAATTATATGGTACATGGGCCAAAGTAAGTGTTCGAAGTTTCTGCCACCGGCTACAATATACACCTCACATCTCCGGCGCATGGACATTCGAACATTTTGCAATACTCCAGGCATATATCGCAGGCAGCTGCTGTGATTCTTGCAACCAGCATTATCAACAGGGGTGTCATAAACCAGTGTTTTCATATTACTCCAGAAATCAAGACATGATAGGTCGTTTGACTATCACATGATAGGTCGCTAGACATGATAGGTCGTTTGACCATATAACTTTTTCAATGTATTATTATAGCGATTTTTCACATACGGTCTCTTTTTTTTATGGTGCTTCTGTGTACGTCACCGCTTCAGGAAAGTATTTCCGACCCCACATAGCTATATGATTTCGAGTCGTCAGGATGCTCCCTACCCCTCTTAAAAGTTCTGAAGCGCTTAACTGAGACACCCTTATATGAAAACTTCTTAGTAAGCTTTTCATCCAAACAGTTTTGAGTCATTCTCACAAAAGCATTCATTTTCCTATGTCAGTATACTTTATTCCTGTTTTATGACTTAATCACGTTTTTTTTTATAAGTGGAAGGTGTTTTTTAGAACGTATTTCAACAAAATAACAAGATTACCATTTTTAATTTTTATATATTTTTTAAACTGAAATATTACCATCCTTACGTGTCCTTACTATTGAAATAAAAATTTAAAAAAAAAGGAGTTTCTAAGAAAGTAAGTAAAATGCTTACAGAGCTGCATTTCTATTTTAGGATATTGAAATATATGTATACAAAATATGAAATATTAAGAATACCAATTTTAAGTTAAGTATTAAGAAAATCAATAAGGAAGTTACTTGCCTTTCAATAGTATCAATTTAATCTACACGAAAAAAAGATTTAAAATATAAATTTTTAAATAAAAAATATATCCAACAAGTGATTAATTTTTAAAAAAAAAAGTTTTTAATATTTTTGAAAAAAAAAATTAAACAAGTGATTAACATTTTTTAATAGCTGTTAATATTTTTTTAAATAAATATTAAACAAGTGTTTACCTTTTTTTCAAAAAACAGGTAGCAATATTTAAAAAAATATATTAAACAAGTGATTAACGTTAATGTTTAAAAAAAAGATGTTAATATTTTTAAAAAAATCCAAAACCACAAAGCTAAAAAGCGAGCAAGGGGCATCTAAACAAGTATATTCTACTCGGGGTACTGATCTAACACCTCTGCAAGTTACTGTTATCGTGAAATCGAATAAACAATGAGTTGATTTCAAGATAAAAAGAAACACAATAGAGTCAACAGGTCCCCTGTTAGAACCATGTTTTCTTCTGAAGAATATTCTTGAGAAGAATATTCTTGAGAAGAATATAAGAGCTGCCAAATGCAGTTTTTATTCGAATCAAACAACCATTATTAGTGTCACTTGCTTTTCATGAGATGAATGGTCTCCTGATGAAATAATTGAGCCTTAAAAGAGGCACTTCTCCTCTCTTCCCAAAAGAAAAAAAGAAAGTATTTTTACGTAAAAAGATTAATTTCTCTGTTAAAGAACTTAATTGCTCAGCAGGACTATAAGCAGGGATCGAAAAATTCCGTAGTTTTGCTGAAAGTAATTTTTCCCTAATGGGGTTCTGTGGAAGACTCACAGGGGTTCTGAAAGTTTAAATTCTTTAAGCCAGAAATGATTTTTGAAAGCTTTCATTATATTTCGATCCAAACAATAAATTATTCGATATTATGGTTATTTTTATGCAATGATTTAAGTAAAATAACAATAAGGGAAGAATTAGCATATTTTCTTGAAAAAGTATTTCCTCCGATAACAATATATTGAATGAATTATTATAGGGATATGCATTTATAAAATATGCTTTCTTATTTTTCATCGAACTTTTCAATTCAAAATAAAAAGATAAAATCCTAGAAATAAGTATTATCTTTCTCAGATTCAACGCTCATAACAGTTCATTTTCGAAAAGTTAGACATAGAACCTATAGTTTTAAGTCTATTATTGATAAATCGATGATTGAATAAATTTCATTCATCATATTTTATTTTATAACCGTAGTGGAACAACCGACCCAACCGACCCCTACTAATATTCAACTCTATATCCTTGTAATATTGAAGCCAGTCCAGAAGACAACAAAACTCCTGGATCAAGTATTGGGAGAAATTTTGCCTGTGTGGAGGATTTTTTGATGCAACTAACCCACATTTACGTTACATGGAGAGGAAAGCCACGAAAACCTTCCACTGTTAGCCTAATGGTAAGGGGATTCTAACCCATGACCCGTCTACCACTAAGGATATCTTACGTCAGCACTGTGGTCGGTGCTAGCCGGGTGCGGAATTCGAATCAACCAGCTGTCGCTGGGTTCAAACCTGGTTCACTTCACTGTGAGGCGAGCGCTTTATTCCCTGAGCCACCACGGTTCCATTCGTCATATTAATATGATCAAAATAATTTGCAGTTTTTATTTACTTTTTGGTTCAATTCACAGCTACTAATTTTGTTTATTAGTTTGGAGGTCCTTCCAATATATGCTCAATCATTTAGGGTTCCGTAGCTGTAAAAAAATTGGGAATCTCTGGTCTAAAGAATTGCAGCTGTTAACCAATAATTAGGTATTTTTAAATTTATAAGTCCGAATACTCTTGTTAAAATATAAATAAAAAAGATTGATTCCTCTTTACATAACACCCGCACATAATATTCTTAAAATCCCCCTTTTTTTTAACTTGGATGAATTCATGTTTGATCTCGTTTCGACCTTTGATTATTGAGGTGGGAATTTTACAAATTTAAAAATTTAAATCTGTCTGGCAATCACGAGAAGTGCTCACTGATCTCGTATAGCTGATTATTTTTAAAACAATCGTACTTAATAAGCAAATGAATTATCGATAGGAATAAAATTAGCTAAAAAGAAGCGACGTTCAGAAATATTTTAATACTGAATAGTAATGCTATAGATAACTTTAAGTAAGTTCAGATAATCGTGGAACAATCTCATTCCGTGGTTCAACTACGAACCTGGAATAATATGTGCAATAATTTTCAAAATACAAGTAATTCCTCATCAAAAATTGTAATTGTTTTTTTTCTGGTCTATTCATATTAGAAACGTTAAAAAGAAAACATGCTTTAGATCAATTAATTTGGTTACTTTTTTATAATAATAATTTTTTTAAAAAAATTGCCTTTTGCTTAGCTTTTTAAAACGCAACGCCAATTAGGTTCTTTCCGTTATATGTTGGTAGCTAACAAGATGGTTAATCTAATAGAAAGGTAAATCTAATTTTATAAATAAAGGTTGAAAATAAATACAAAAAAGTCACTGAAATTGGGAAAAAAAAACAATAAATTTTATTAAACC